TTTCAGGTAATGAAAAAAAATTTTGTAAATTAATTAAGTCACTTTATAAGCTAAAGCAAGCTCCTAAACAATAGCATAAAAAGTTTGATTCAACCATATTAGCCAATGGTTTTAAACATAATGGAGCGGATAAATGCATTTGCTAAAATTTACTAAAGATTTTATCTAGATGATATGTTAATTTTTAGTACTAATATGATTGGCATAAATGAAACCAAAAGGTATCTCATTTTTAATTTCAAAATGAAATATTTAAATGAAGTTAATACCATTTTGGGAATTAGAGTTAAGAGACATAACAAGGGCTTTGTACTTAATCGAAGTCATTATATTGAGAAACTACTTAATAAATTTAAGTATCTTAATATAAAAGAAGTCAATACTCTATTTGATCCAAGTATAAAGTTAATAGAAAATCAAGGTCATGTAATTACGCAACTTGAAAATGTTGGTGTTATTGAAAGTATTATGTATGCTATGCATTGTACTAGACCAGATATAGCTTTTGCTATTTGTAAGTTATCAAAATATACAAGTAAGCCTAGTATAAGTCATTGGAAAGCGATAGGAAGAGTTCTTGGTTATCTTAAAAGAACTAAAGATTTTGACTTATTTTATTCAAGGTATCCCACTGTTTTGAAAAGATATTTAGATGCAAGTTGGATCACTAGTATTAGTGATAATAAATCCACTTCAAGTTAGATGTTTATTCATGAAGCTGGTGCAATTAGTTAGGCATCTAAGAAACAAACTTGCATTTCACATTCAACTATAGAATATGAATTTATAGTTTTAGCTACATCAAGTAAGGAAGTAAAATGGCTAAGAAATTTATTAATAGATATAGAGTTATTGCCATAACCAATGACAACAATTTCTTTGTACTGTGATAGTGAAGCTACTATGTTTAAAGCTTATAATAAAACTTATAATGAAAAATCTAGACATATTAGTTTAAGACATGATTATATCAAAAAATTAATTTAAAAAATAGGGTAATTAGCATAATATAGTTAAATCTCTAACAACTTAGATGCTATGTAAAAATTTGGTAAGAATTACCACAAGTGGAATAGGTTTAAAATTCTTTTTAGACACTAATAATGGGAACCTAACTTTGAATTAGTAGCCTCTAATTCCAAAGTTTAATAGATAACAACAAATTATCGTTATGTGTCTATAAACATTAGTAAACCCATTCTAAATATTTGAAATATTAGTGTAAGCTATTGCATAAATGGATGATGAGATTGAACTCTTAATGGAGTTTATAATTAAATGTCTATAGCAATGGAGACATAAATAAAAAATTTCACCTATATAAACATAGAAATGGTGCCGTTTCAATAAGAAAATTAAAAATTTTCTTGTAAATGTTTATGAATAAAGATAAGCACATGACCATAATAGTGCTAAAGTGGTTATAAACCTCTAACAGAATATTAAATAAGTATTATGTGTGTTATATCTTCAATTTTGACACTAGGAGTTGAGGTTTAATCTGTGAAAAGCATCAACTTCATTAAAATTCTAATGTATATACGTTAATTAAAAGTTTAAATCAAAATATGCTTTCTTATATCATCATAGTTATTTATGTAAAAAGTTAAAATTTAAGCATCAGTATTTCAAAGTAATGGGAGATTATTGGTAGTTTAGAATGTTGTGTATCCCATATTGAATAAAATGATCGTTTGTATGTAATTTAAAAGAGATTACTTATGTTATTTAAGTAATTAAGCTAAGTGTTAGAGTGAACTAAGTTATTGGGGCTTACTAGGAGTTTTCTTAATGGTCAGACAATTTTAAAAGTTAAAAGCAAGCACTTGGACACTTAGAGCATGCCTCAAAGCCATATTTCTTCTTCCTTATTATTTTTATTTTTCTTAAAAAATTTTAACAATTTTTACCGTAGCTTTAAGGATAGATCTAGGATTATTAAGGTTGATTCTCGAAAATCTAATGTCAAATCTGAGATGAAGGGATAAGCATATGATGAAAATTTAGAGTTGAAAGGTGACTGATCAATGACAACAATAGCTAGCTCTTAAATTTTTTGAGATAAGGGAGAGGGTTGTGGGTTTAGAGAAAGAATGGAGAAGATGGAAATAAAATTAAAAATAAAAAGAGGAAATTTGGAGTTTTTAATAATAACCAAAACGATGTAGTTTTGGGTAAGAAAGAGAAAAAAAAAAAAAAAAAAAGAGATACTTTGGCTACCAATCAACTAACTTGACCTGCTTAGGTTTGCATCGGACTAGCTCCAACCTTGGCTCGACCCGATTTGCGCCCTAGGCCATCACTTAATTTGGATCAAACCCTAAACCCCCAATAGCTCCTTGACTTTGAACTTTGTCAAATTGGGTTTAACCTAATATTTATGGTACATTGTCATTATTTATTAATTTAATTTCTAATTTGCATGCATGTTTAAATTTTAAATTTATATTGTATGTTATATTTATTTGCTTGATGTATGCTTATTTAGAGATTTTAAATTTATTTAGTCAGGTATATATTTTCTTTAGCCAAAAATAAGTGAATAATAATAAAAAATAATAAAAGAATTATTAAATAATAAGGTGTTGAATTAAGGGTTTTTTTGTGAAATAATAAAATTTTATCATAAAACTTAACAAATTTTAAAAAGAGGCAAAAATAATAAAATAATGAAATAATAAAAATAAAAGAATGAATGCATAATAAAAACATTCAATCAATAAATTTTTAAATGGTTTCGAATGTGCAACTCATGAACAAAAATCTTTTAAATTTTATTAGAATGATGGTAAATTTAAAAGAAAATAAAACAAAATAATAAAAATTCTTTCTAATTTTACTAGAATGATGGTAAATTTAAAAGAAAATTCAAATAAAATAATAAAAAAACTTTTCTAAATTTTACTAGAAAGATGATAAATTTAGGGAAAAATTCATACTAAATAAAAATCTTTTTAGATTTCATCTGAATTAGGGTAAATTTTAGAAGGAAATTTCATAATAATTAACATTTATTTTAAAACAAAATGAAATAAAATAGTATAAATTAGATAATTAGACTCTTTTTAATTGGAATAAATGAAAAATTCAATCAACGATAAAAATCTAGAAAAATTACAAATATGTAATTTTCTAGAGGAATTTTTTTAATTTTGCTAGAATAATGAAAATTTTTAAAAATAAAATGAATAATATTTAATATCACAAAATAAAAGAAATAAAAGAGTAACAAAGAATAAGAATAAACGATAAGAATAATTAGGAATTATTAGTAAAGAAATTAATGAATAATGATCAAAACTCTTTTAAGTTTAAGAATAATGAAAATTGCCTTAATTATGAAATTATAAGAAATCATGAAACAATGATTTTCTATAAAAGGTTTTTATCTGTGAAAACCCATTGAAATTTTATCAGAATGATGAAAATTTTGAAAAAAAGATTCTAACACCAAATATTTACATTTATTTCCAAATAAAAGAAATATGAAAAATAATAAATATTAATTAGTTAAAGCTTGTATTCATAAGATTTTAATAAATTATAAGAATAAAAGAATAATCATTAATCAACAACAAGATCCTAAAAGAAATTACAACGAGTGATTTTTTTAAAGAATTTGTAAGAAAATATGATTTATCTAAATTATTCTAAAATAATGGATAATTAATAAAAGTTAAAATTTAAAAGTTAAAAGTTAAAATTTAAAACCAATTTTAAGTCTTCTTTGCATAAAGATTTAAATCCTTCATATCATAAAATTTTAGAGATCACGAAGGAGTGATTTTTTTAAAAAAAAAATTTAAGAAAAGAAAATAATTTTAAATTTTATCAAAATGATGAAAATTTTAGATAAATTCTCAATAAAAAAAATGAAAAGATTAATTAAATTGTAAAAGGAAAGTTTCAAATGAAATAACAAAATTTTAATAAATCTACGATGATGCCTCTTTAAATAAATAAGTGGATCCTTAAGTACTCTTGAAATGAAAAAAAAATTTAAGAATTTTATCAGAATAATGAAAAAATCTTATGAAAATTTTTAATGTTTAAATAATTAAATTTAATTTAGAATAAATGATCATTTAATTAATACCGTTTTGAGATGACATAAAATTACTTAGTATTATTTTTAGACAGACATTATAAGGATGCTAATCTTTTCTTATACTAACCATACTTTCAAACCTAAACTGGTTTCATAGATCAAAATATATATTTTTGATAAACCTTAATAAATTATAAGATTTTATTAAAAGATCAAATTTTAATTAACCAATCACATCTCAATAAAAAAATTTGGTGATAACTTCTAGTTTTATATCTAACGATTGAATCTCCCAAACATATATATTATGACAAACATAAAGTTGAACTATACATATATAGTGAAACTAGAACCTAAGATACAAGAGTTCTAAGGTTTTCTTTTTGCCACTAATATTATTGATATACTCTATGTTATATTACAAATATAACATATTCTTATATATAACTATTTAAATAAACTAAATAGCTTATGATACATATATATATATATATTATATAATTTATTAATAAATTGGGTTTTTAGTCTTAATTGAATTTGTATATCGTGAGTTGGGTTTAAAGGGGATTTGAAAAAATGAATGTGATTGTTTGTTTGATGTAGATTTATAATTAAGTATATTTTTTTGTACGTTTGAGTTTTGAATTATCAATAATAAATTAAATTAAAAAATATAATAATGATAAATATAGATATAAATATTAAAGACATAAAAACAAAAAATAAAAATTAAATTATTTTTCTATTTTTTTATTTTAAATATTTTAAAAAATTTTAACAAAATAATTAAGTAAATTTATTAACAAATATTTTTGTCATAAAAAATTATTTTTTGGTGTAGAATGTTAAAGAAAGAGTGCATTTAAAAGCTCCCACTAATTTTTTTTTTTAAATTGAAATTTTCTATTTCTCCTTGTTTTCTCTTCAATTCTCTGGGTCCAAACAACATAATTTGAACAAAAAAAAAAAAAAAACTAATTAAACTCTTCCGCTTAATTACACTCGCCTTCCTTATTATTTCCAAACATTCCCGTCCCTTCGTTTCTCTCTCTCTTTCTCTCTCGCTTTTTCTTTCTTTCACGACGTCTGCCTTGCCAAACGGTACGATGCCCCGTCGTTTTCATTTCCTTTTCAATGCGTTAGATCTGTTACTTGCTTTCTCCATCGATTTCAAACACTGCTTTTTTATATCTAATTTCCAATTTCATCATTTATTTTCTTCTTTTTTTGATCTGGATCTGTCGCGTCATTGATGAGAGTTTTTTTTTGTTGAGATTTTATTTTATTTTTTAGTGCTAAAGCAGTTCAATGTGATTTGCTTTGCTTTTTTTTTTTTTTCCTATTGATCACTTAACGAAATCTAAAGTAAATAGTCATAGTTCAATTAGCTGTAATATTCTGCTCATTTCTTTATACTGTTTTATATTTACTTGTGCTGAATTTTACATTCATCTTTGATGAGGGAAAAAAATCTATAATTTGATGTCAATGTTTATATAGGAACTAGTAAATCTGTTCTATTCTTGAGATTCATATTAGTTAGTTAGATCTGTCGTCGAATGGGGTAATGCCTCAGAGGCAGAAGATGTTCTAGTAGTCAAACTAGGCACTGAATTGATTAGATGGGTATCTTCATTGTACAATGCTAAAATTTGCAAATTTTGCTTAGTATTTAATGGGAAAATATAGCTCAAATTTTCCCACCATGAAAATTAGGCAGTATAAATTAAAATATCTTATTTACAAAAGGAGAAACAGTTGCAGAAAAGGTGAATCACTGGTAGTCAAAGGTTCCTAAAGGTGGAAGGATTATCATTTTTAGCTATTTATAAGAGATGTAAAGCCACTCTTCTGCTTTTTGTTTATGCATGACTTGTTGGAGGAGTATCTGGCTATTAGTGGTTGGTCTTAGTTACAAACTCATATCTTTATTGTATTCATGTTATTTACACAAGTTTCTTTGTCTTTGTAGACTATTCTTACTAGCTTTTTTAATTGTGATCTCAATAAATTTTTAGTTCTTGGATTTTTTTTTCTTATTTGTTGCTATTATTTTTGTAGGACTTATTGTTGAAGTGGTTGAAAACTCTTGGAAATCATATGCATATGGATGGATTACTTAAAGAACATTGAGTGATATAGGATTTGGGGTTATCACTTGCAACAAAATATAAAATGGCTCCATCTAATAAGGCTGATAGAAAAACAGTTCTAGATGCGGCTGCTTGGATGTTCAATGTTGTCACTTCCGTTGGAATTATTATTGTCAATAAAGCCTTAATGGCTACTTATGGTTTCAGTTTTGGTAAATTCCTTTCAAACTCTTTTGAATTGCTCTCCCCTCCCCCACCCCTTTTTCTTCATATGCCACAAACAGCTAATGATGTTGTAGCCATTTTATAGTTCAATTGAATTAGGAAATTTTCCTGTCAAATTCTCTTTTATCTTTAAGATAAATATATAGGATCAGAGTGGTGAGCTGCCGTGAAATAAGCACATAAAATGCAAAAACATGAGAATAATTTGCTGTGCAACGGAATGTTTTAACAGTTGTGAGTATTATCTTGGAAAACAAAATCAGCAGGTGTAATGGTTCTAGAGGTTTGAACATTAAGATTGTGGAGTGGTAGGCTGGAGAGCAGATAAGCAAACATGCAAAAGAAGCTGTAGGATAGGCCTTATCATATGCAGAAATTAGAATGAGGTTCAAACCTAGAATAGGTTTGGTGTAGGTTTGTGGGGGTTGTAAATGGTAGAGAAAGTGAACAGCATGGGCTATGATTCCTTTCCGCACCCACCCCTCTCCTTTTTACCTGTTCTAGAAGGAGAGTAAATGGTTGAACTAGTGGAAAACAATTGAAAATTAAAAAAAAATGTTATCATAAGTAGAGATGAAGAGGAAGCCTTGACTTGGAAGTTGGAAGTAGATAGGATTAAGTATAGGATGATTGTGCTGCTGGTATAATAATCATCTGCAAGTAAATAAGCTAAATATTCTGGTTTTTGTTACTTTATGAATGTTCTAATTATTCATGCTGCAATAAGGATGTAATAAACTGTCACTAATTCCTTTTCTATTTGATTGCAAATTGTTGCAGCAACAACATTAACTGGTTTGCATTTTGCTACCACAACCTTGATGACGGCTGTTCTAAGATGGTTAGGATACATTCAATCTTCTCATCTACCCTTGCCAGAGCTTTTGAAATTTGTTTTGTTTGCAAACTTCTCTATCGTTGGAATGAATGTTAGTCTGATGTGGAACTCTGTGGGATTTTATCAGGTAAAGTATAATATTTGCTAGAATTTACTACTTGTGTTTTTTAGATTATTTGGAAATCACAGATTCTCTAATTCAATGACAGATTGCAAAGCTTAGTATGATTCCTGTATCCTGCTTTTTGGAAGTTGTGATGGACAAGATTCAGTACTCCAGAGATACAAAGCTGAGCATAGCTGTTGTTCTTCTGGGTGTTGGTGTTTGTACTGTCACTGATGTGAGTGTTAATACCAGAGGTTTTATAGCTGCCTTTATTGCTGTATGGAGTACTTCTCTGCAACAATATGTAAGTTGTTAATTCCTGTGCATATAAATTGAATCTTTTAATGTTCTAAACTGCTGTAGTTTTTTTTGGAACTTACAATTTAGTCATATATTTTTCTTGTGTTTATTTGTGCAGTATGTTCATCACCTTCAACGAAGGTATAATCTTAGTTCCTTCAACCTACTGGGACACACTGCTCCTGCCCAGGCTGGAACACTGTTGCTATTTGGTCCATTTCTGGACTATTGGTTGACAGACAAGAGAGTTGATGCCTATAGTTATAACCTAGTATCTGTGGTAAGTATTCTATCTATTCATATTCTTTGATTTATGAGTTTTGTGCATCATGGATGTTATTGCCATCAGTATAGAACAAGGTTATTTTTACTTGTTTCAGAGTTGCTGTCAGAATCATGTTTATGAATAAAATTATTTGTGTTCGTGAATGTGCATACCGTAACATGCAGTTAACTTGTCTTTCTTGTGACCTACAGTTACATTAAATTTGCATTGCGTATGATGATGTTGTTTGCATCTCCTAATACCGCTTACATGCCATAGGGTGCCTAACATCTCTTAAAACATCTACCCTCAACATGAATTTAGGCATGCCTAACAGAAATATTTGTGTTCAGTTCATTCTGATTGAAGAAAATCATTTACTTGTGGTGTTATTTATAACATGCTGCACATATCAATAGATGTACTCACTCTCCTCTCTCTCTCTCTTTAGCTGCTGTATAAAATTGGCCCACTCATTGATGTAAGATTTTAGTAATAAGTTCACTTTCACTCATTTCGATCCGGTTCTGCTGCTGCAATTATAGCTGCCAACTTGAATTACCTTTTGCAAGATGCCATTTTGGCTGGCTGCCTTTCCTGTATGCAGAATTATGCATAATAAAGTATTTGTGGGATGTGTGTAATTCCAATTATAGCTTGTTCCTCTGACTTGTGGTTTTACAGGAATAGTGGCTTACAGCTGTTTTGGTTCTTGGTCTTAGCAGATGTTCATAATTCTTTCATGTACTATAGCAGTAGGGACGAACCTCAGCCAGTTCATCTGCATTGGCAGATTTACTGCAGTTTCCTTTCAAGTACTGGGCCATATGAAGACAATCTTTGTGTTGATTATGGGATTCTTTTTCTTTGGAAAAGAGGGTCTCAATCTGCATGTGGTTCTGGGCATGATCATAGCTGTGGCTGGAATGATTTGGTATGGAAATGCTTCATCCAAGCCTGGTGGGAAGGAGCATCGGAGCCTTTCTCTCCCGACCAGCCGACAATAAAAGCATGGTAATTTGTCAGATTCTAATGAACTAATTCCCCATTCAGGATAAGTTAAGCATACATGGGTAGCTGATTGCATAAAGTTATTGGTTATCCATCATTAGAAGAACCAACCAATTATTTTTATCCCCATTTTTTGTAGTTCCTAATTCTTTGGTATTGGGTTCACTCTGAGGGAATGGATCATTTTCGGATAGGATTAGATGCTTTTGAAATTTTGCTTTTCTTTTTCAGGAATATAATTTATATAATTTCTTTTCATGCCTTTTTTTTTTTTTCAATTTACTTCAAAACCATCAGTTGTCTTCATATTGAGCTATTATTTGAAGCGAAGCAATAGTAAAAAAAAAAAAAAATGAGGTTAATAAAAAATTAAGATAAATGTCACGAATAGTTTTTGAGTTATAATAAAAATGTTTAATATGATATTTAGATTTTAAAATTTTAAAATATGATATTTGAATTATGAATTTATTAATTTATGTGGTAAATCATCCTATCACAAAATGATTAACCCTAAATAAAAAGTGTGCTTAAGCAAAGACACTTTTGAGGTAGTGTCAAAGCATGTGGAATTAGTAGAGCATTTGTTTCGAGACTGAAAGGAAGTGTACATTTTGGCAAACAAAGACACAACGTAAATACTAGAATTATCAGGTCTAAATTCAACAATCCTTTTAAATTTATCAAGCAAATTTACCTTCGACGAAGAAAGCACATAGAGCAGATTATTGATAAATAAGTCAACATATCGTTAGATAAATTTGAATTTTGCTCGTTATAATATAAATATTATATACTAATACTTTCAAAATAAATTAATAAACCATTTGAATCAATTCAAGTAATCTCCATGACATGAAATTTTCACTACAACAAATTCCAACCGAACAATAATCCATTAAACAATGAACTGAGGCAAAAATGAATAAAAATACTCATTAATTTCCATTTTGAAAGAAAATATAATTATTTATGAGGAAACTTGACAAAACTCCCGCAACAGAAAATTAACAGAATTGATACTGCGACTAATAGTAATTGCCAAGACTCCATTAGCATTTCGAGCACAAAAGAAACCGAATAAGAGCCAAAGAAATAGACCATTTAAATGCAGGTATTCTTAATTGCAATTGATAAAAGATCAAACAATCGATTAAAAAACTTGTCTGCAAGGTTTAAAACCAACTAAATCACATCCAAAATTTGTCTTGATAAACAGTGCCTAAAAGCATGTAAATAACTCTCTGCCTGACAATATATATTTGTTCAAAATATATATGAAGCATTTAACGCTTCTTAGAGACACCAACAGTCTTCCCTCTGCGACCAGTAGTCTTGGTATGCTGACCACGGACACGAAGGCCCCAGTAGTGCCTCAGACCACGGTGGTTCCTGCATGACAGTATTTCAAAAGTTAGTTGCAATCCCACACCCCAATAGCCTAACTTAAGCCACAAAATGTAAACTGAATCACAAACTATTTCTCAAAAATCTAACCCACTGCTAATTAAACAAACAGAAAGGAAGTCGGCACAAATAAGTTTAGCTAAGCTAAGGAAAATTTAAACATACATGACTTTAAAATTTTATGGTAAATTATAAGTCTTACTATTCCATTGCAGCTGGTAATAGGAAACAAATGTAATATCTATGACGATTTTCAGATTTCTAAGGTTTTTGTTAATGTAGCCCTCTTCTCATCTTAATCAATAAAGAACATCATCAAGATACCATAAAATGCACCCGCACATTATGACAATAACCTGTCCACTAACAAACTCCAAAGCTTGTAAGAGTCCAAACAAAAACCAAGAAAAGATGCTTACACATTCAAACAAACAACCTATCCACTACACGTTTTGTTCCAGCTAAAATTCAAGCCGTAGAAACAGAATTTCTCAAATAAATTGTCTAAACTATTTACTAATATGTTTGAAAATGCTTACTAGGAAAGTGAAAGCAATTATCTAATAGTCAAAGGATATACTATGAGCAATGAAGCATGCATGTACGCAAATTAAACAGTATCATTCATGCCTAGATAGAGTTGGCTTGATCATATATTTTTAAGCAGCAAATAATTGACACAAATAATACACAAGGGCAAAGATTAACTGTAGCACAAATCAGTAAGAACATGAATTAACCTGATCTTCTTCAAGCGCTCCAAGTCATCTCTCAACTTCATGTCAAGAGCATTAGACACAACTTGGGAATACTTTCCATCCTTGTAATCCTTCTGCCTATTCAAAAACCAGTCTGGGATTTTAAACTGCCTGGGGTTCGCCACAATGGTCATGAGATTGTCCAGCTCCTGTGCAGTCAACTCACCAGCCCTGATAACAACAAGAAGTAAATCAAATAAGATCTCCACAACAAACCACCGAAAATTGAATAACATTCAACAACATCCTCATTCCACATCATATACTTTACTATATACATAATTGCATCCCAGAAGACAAAATTAAACTAAAGTATATAGAATGAATCAAAACTCATAATTTTCTTCTACAAATACATGAATATATTCGCATCTATGAAAAATTAATCGTTTCAACATGAAACACATATCATTATCTGAACTATGTAGCATAAAACATCTTAGTTATCCAAAACTAAGACTAAAATGGACATAAAAACGGCATTTCCTCGCCATAAATTTTAAAAATAAAACAAACCTCTTGTTCATGTCGACATCAGCTTTCTTGCAAACAATGTTAGCGAAACGCCTTCCGATACCCTTGATGGAGGTCAAAGCAAACATAATCTTCTGCTTTCCATCAACGTTGGTGTTCAGCACACGTAAAATGTGCTGAAAATCTTCGTTGGCCACCAGAGACTACACGCACAAAAAAAAAACACATTAAAATGAAGTCAAAAGCAACAATCTTTAGAAAAAAAAAAAAAAAAAAAACATAAACCCCAATTCAAATAAAGCAAAACCCAATTTACAAACGCTCATAACATATGAATTAATAAATAAAACGGCGAGTCAGATCAAGAAAAATAAAGCGTATAAAAAACCACAGAAAGAGTTGAACTAATGAATTAGTGGGAATAGAGTTGCAAAGACTGGGGATTTGGAGGAGAAAGATGGAGCCCTGATTACCATTTTTGCGATGGAGATATGGGGAGAGGAGAGAAGACGCTTTGGGGACTGATGAGCTGAAGCGAATAACAACGGCGGCCACACTAAGTCTTTGTAAGTGCCCTTCCAACAAATATATAGATTGACTCTAGGGTTTTCAGAATTGGGTTTTGGGCTTTTGGTTGTTGGTGTTTGGGGCGACAAAAACAAAAGAGAAGAAAAAGAATGGATTGATCCATCCCAAAATTACCGTTTATAGTCCAATTACTGTTGGACAGATTTAGATTAGAAGCCATTAAAGACCCAAGACTAGTTCCAACCAAAAATAAGAGATTTTTTTTGCTATTTTCCTCCTTAAATTTGTTTATTTCACCATACATTTTAATCTATCTATAGATTCTATATGTTTTTCTTATTTTTTATTTTATTTATTTATTATTCTATTTAATTAAATTTTTTTGGAAGATTTATAACTTAAAACAATATGTACAAAAATAATCGAATTTATGAACTTATATTTTTAAAAATAAAAAAAATGAAAATATGTTAAAGACATCTAAAAAATATAAATATTTAAAAAATAAATTATACCAACGATTTTTAAAATATGTTATGTAAAATCTAAACCCCACGCAAATAATTAATTAGCATTTATAAATTTTGATCAAATAATAATAAATAGATCTAACGATTCATATATTTGTATCATATAAATTATTAAAATTTATATATTTGTATCATATTTTACATAAAAATTACATATCATAATTTATATCTCCAAACCTTTGTTCTAGTGGCTTAAAGTGCTTGAAGAAACATCAAGGACTTAATTTTGATTAAGTACTCAATTTTTCTTAAAACAAACACAATTAAGTACTTGAATTTTACTTTCATCTAACGATTATAACAAATAATGCATCTAAAATCTACCAGTAAAAACTTTAGGCACTGATATGCTGAAAGGAAACTGGATTATCCAACTGACTGAAACTATGCAAACCTTTTACGTGCAATGAATTCATGCTCATGGCATAACAGTCTAAGTTAGCTGAAATTACATGTAACAATCCTACAAACAAATCGAAACCTGGGCCTATCTCATACAAAGCTAGCTTTAAAGCAAAGTAAGATCAGACACATGAAACCCTCAGGTTGGCTACCTTGCTTGAAGAGTTCGAGGACATTCAAAGACTTCATCCCTAGGACTATTTGAAGAGCCACTTGAAGAAGTCTATTGCTCTTTGTAGTCTCACTTGAAAAGAAAAAGATATTTATGTTGATAATCCTAAAGTTAATCGTCCATGTTAGATGGAAATATTACAGCCTAATTCTTTGGCAGCTTTATCAAGAAACTGTATAGGCATTCCTCTTGCAAGTTGACTACAAGCTTCCCATGTTAAGCACTTTTCAATATCAGTATGCCAGTCAATGATACCTAGATTAAAGTGCCGATACGAGGGACCATGGATGCCATTTATTTCCCCCTTAGAATTAGATTTAACTGAAACTGTATGCAAAATATTGTGAAGGACGGATGTGCTGAGAGCTCTAACATGTGCACTTGGATGAGAAAGACATCGAGTTGTAGCTGGTAGACGACACTGCATGAATTGGCAGATTAAATATCACATCAGCATAGATGTTGCAGTAACATCAAGGGAGTAGAGAAAGAGCTTCCTCCATTTCTATTTGCTCCGTTTTACTCCATGTTGATGGGCATTAGTATTCACAATGAACAGCTTGAAAGCATGTTTTGATTTCAACCTTTTGATATATCAAATTGACTATGCCAAAAGGGCTTTTGCTCACCTTTAACAGGTTTGAAAGTCCATCTGCTACTGTCAGTCCAGATTCTCCCCACTCTAGAACTGGCTGAACTGCTCTAGCTGTAGCTTCCAGCAGCTGCCATTTTTAGATAAAAACTCAATACGTTAATAAGACTTTGAGATAAACGGAATGCATTTGACTTCAGAATATCAGAAGTGTTCGATTAAAAAGACATGGTAATTGGTGAATGACTATCTATAAGAGACAATAATTAGAGGCAGTACCTCCAGTTGCGGTAAAGTACAAGCTTCCCCATCAACAAGCATCCCATCTGTCGCACGTAGAAGTAGATCAGAGGCACTTGCCACAATTACCAATGATTCAGGGCTATCGTGATTTCTCATTAGTTCCACTATTAACTTTACAATCCGCTGGTTGATTCTCCACATCTTCTGACCTTGATCATCATTTTTGGCAATCCATGGCTGCAATTCCCGATCCGCCTGACAAGAACACAAGACCATAAAAGTGACCAAACAAATACAGAAAATAAAGTTAAAAAACAAAAAAGCTAGACAATAAGGCAATTTATGACTGCTGGTTTGGACACCATCCGATGACAGTTCATCCTGTAATGAAGAGGTGTTTTATCATGTATAAAAGATCTGAATTTTATTACCCTAATTACGAATTGGTGTCATCTTTTACAAAAACATATGATGTTCAAGTCAGCAGCCATGAAGAAAAGCTTCACTGCTTTGACTTTCTAATTTTAGACTAATGTTTACAAAATGAAAAAAATTTGGACCTGAAGAACAACTGCTGTAGCCGCTTTTGCTGGTGATGCTGATACGACATTGCACAATGCATCAACCACCTAATTACATCCAAGTAGGCTAGTCAGACAATATATTTCCATGAAATCATAATGATGAATTTACAGATGAACCATAGGGCAAATAGATTTATTCTGTTAACTGTTCTACTCTTATGCCTGCTCTCATTAGTCTCAGTTAAAATTTATTTGCACTGCAGAATGTTACCAATCCACACACGTATAAAAATTCACATTTTCTGTTTGGAAAAAAAAAACCATCTATGGAATCGGTTAAGGTCAATCCTTTTTTCTATTAATTTTGAAAAGTGAAGATAGTTCCAGTCAAACACTTTGCCACTCTGATATAGATGAATGCTATTGAAGTCTGGAACACTAGAAGCAACACCATACTAACATATGCACCACACAGAAATTAATGCTATTTTCTAGTTGCTATGAATTTTCCAATGCCATAACAAAATGAGCATATACATTTGATTTGCTTCACAGTTTCCCTAGTAAAAATTCTAGTTACATCTCTATTTACAGCATTACTGCATGCAACCAGATATTGGTGAAGCAGTATTGGGCTTCGAATTGCTGCCCCTTACACATGTGGAAATGTGATTGAAGAAATATGACCCAACACTATAAGTAGCTAGAATATAAGAACCTATAAAGCATATACTAAAAGTTGGATGGCTGACCCCTTTCAGATCTGGAAGAAAAATATCCCGTATGACATTGGATTCTAGTGGTGGCATTAAGTAACAGTACCGATGCAAACAACCCCAACCCAATGGGAAGTTAAGGGCTTTGAGTTTAGTATTTAACAGGGTTGTGTCAAAAATCAAATTGACCCAAGAGTCACATGGAAATAAGCATGCCATGTTGGGATTGAACTGCTTAACTCAAATTTGACACATAATAGACTTGAATATTGATCGTGCTGATGTGTCAACCTGTATAAGACCTAAACCATTTAAACCTGTTCATTGTTGTGTTTTATTTGGGGATGGGAATGTGAATTCTGCTATTTGAGCAACGAATGAATGCACCAACCACTGAGCCAAATGCTTAAAAACAATTGTTTAGAGATAATAATCACGAGTATCTGTAGTGCAAGGATAACATGTACAAAAGAAAGGATGGTAAAATAGTTAACAAAAGAAAGAAACCTTATAATTGAGTTAAAATTACCTATTTAGGACCTATCTAATTAGACAAGTTAAATAGTCAAGTTCATGTTAACTCAACCTTGACATGACTTGTTCTTCAAACAAGTTACACAGGCCGTTTTATGTTACTTGTTTTATAAAAAGTAAGTGTTCCTATAAAGGGTTCTGACATAATGAGTCAAATGAGTTGTGTTTGGTTGACCTATATCCTTTTAGACCCATTGTTGACAAGACCCACCAACACAAATTGCCACCACTAAATTGATATTGTATCTTTTCCAAACTAGTAAGAAAACCAAGTCAGACAAATGGCTCAAAGAGTTCATAAAACAGTTTATTAATTGTTGACCTATATCCTTTTATACCCATTGTTGACAAGACCCACCAACACAAATTGCCACCACTAAATTGATATTGTATCTTTTCCTAACTAGTAAGAAAACCAAGTCAGACAAATGGCTCAAGGAGTTCATAAAACAGTTTATTAATTTACAAAAAGCATTTAACGAGAGGTTTAGTCAAACATTCAGGCAGACATTGAAATTTGATATATTCTTAAAAGACAAATTACATGTAGATGTTGAAAGTCATTGCATCAAGGAGAAGCTGGATGCTTGTCATTGCATCAGGGAGAAGACATTGACATTTGATATATTCTTAAAAATAATAATAATAATAAAATACCACACAAAGCATGAAACATATCAGATTACCTGTCTCCATCCTTGTTGGGCGGATGTGCTTTCGGCACTGGGTTGTGTTTCAGGGGCTGCTATCAGCTTGTGCCACAATAGTGAAACAACAGAGAAACACAACTCTTGTTTCTCCACAAGCACAGATCTTAGAAGAATTTGTGCATTGCAATTGAATCCTATGTGCCTGTCCATTGTGAGAAAATTGGCCAAATCTGAGGCATCTAATGGGAAACTTGCTATACTTTTGCCCAAGGAATTTCCTGAGCCTTCATCTGATGCTAGCACCCTCTCACATCTGAGATTATTGTCTGAATGAGTTGAATCTTTACATCCTGAAGCAGATGACCATCCAGGATCATAGCAAGTGGTATTTGTACGTTTGTTTTGTTTTCTGCCATCAAAACAATCAGGGAAATCCTTCCGAACAGGTGCATATATCAATTGTGCTTCTAATGGTTCAGCCTTGTTAACAATGGATGCAACAGCCTTGCTGTGAATATCAATGAGATTATACAATGATGATGCCCTGGCATAAATTTCATTGTCCCACTTGCACTGCATTAGGACAGAGAGCGCATTCGTGCAAGCCTTTGACCATCTAAATAGTTCAGACACATGAGCGGCAACCATAGCTGCAGCAACTATTTCATTTGAACTATAACTCCATGAGGTGCCAACAGAAGATGG